AGAATATTTCCTAAAAAGGAAATTTTCAAAAAATCAATAGTGAATGGGTGAGAGTTTTTTTTTTTTTTTTACTATTTTAGAATTTTTAAATCTTAACTCTTTAAGTAAAATCATAAAAAATAATAAAATTATTCTTTTTTAAAACTATTTCTTAGTCTTAAAAAAATTATAGCCAATCTTTATTCAAACTGTTATTCCAATATAAACCTGTAATTTTAAAAAATAAAAATAAATTTTTTTTTAAAAAAGTAAAAGAAAAAAAAGAATTTGAAAAGTTTGTTCTGATAAATAAAAACTCTTTAAGATTAACCTTGATCTATTAGAATAAATTCTTTATTATTATTTGCATCTGGACAAATTATTTAATTTTTACTGTTCCATTGCTAATCAAGAAATATTCAAGGTATTTATAACAAGATTTATAGTAAAAATTATTGTTTAAAAAGTTTTATTATCTAATATTTAATGTTTTTTTGAAATAATCAGTAATAAAGAAAATTTTTACTAGATTGAAATGAAGCTTTTTTTTGATTTTGAAAAGAAAAAAAACCAGTTTAAAAGAAAAAGAAAAGTATTAAATTATTTCTGTTCAAATAAAACATTATGATATTTTGCTCTTCTATTTTTTTAATTATATTATTATTAATACTGTATATTATATAACAAAAAACATATGAGAAGTATATGTTTTGTTTATTTTTTTGTAATATATTGATTAGCCTATTCAATATTTTAATCAATTACAAACTGGAGATTTTAATAAAATAAAAATTTCAAAAATCAAATTAAAGTAGGCAAAATTTCTTAAAAATTCTATAATATGCTTAAAAGAACTACTGTAAATATTTAATTAATAGAAAGAATTATATATTTATATCTATAAATTAAAATACTAGCTTATTTATCTATCTTTAACAAAAGATATTTATACAGATTAGAATACTAGCTTATTTATCTATCTTTAATAAAAGATATTTATACAGATTAAAATACTAGCTTATTTATCTATTTTTAACAAAAGATATTTATTTATGATAAATCCAAGATTCTTATAGAGTTTTAAAAATATATTTATTAATAAACTATTCTAAAATTTCAAATTTTAAGAAAAAATAAAGAAAAGTATTTTTTCTATATATAATTTTTTTCTAATAAGATGTTTTTCTATAAATTAAATAAATAAGTTTTTGAATATTTTGTTACTAAAACATTCAAAGAAGTTTTGAAAAAAGAAAGGTAAACAAAGTAAAAGAAGGTTTTGTTTTTAGAGATGTGTATTGTTAAAAAAAGTATTTAGACTTTATTATTGAAAAATAAAAAAAATTTTTAAAATATTTGTTTTTTGAATTAGTAAAAGAATTAGCAAGAAAAGTTTTTTTATTTTAAAATAAAAAAATTATTATTTTTATTTATTTTTTTTATTTCAAATCAGACTGCAAATTTATTAATTTATTAATTTTATTTGTGAGAAAACAATTATATATTTGTATTGAGAATACTATGATAATACTAAACTATTGTATTACTATGTAGCACACTTGTTATAAGTCTAAGGCTTCTAGATGTAATAATGGAGAATAAAAGTATTGCCCAATTTTATTTTGATACTTTTACTAATCTAAAATATCACAGCTAGCATTTATTTAGAATTGTCATTCTTATATTATTGTTATGGTCTTATGAAAATAAAAATTTTTATTTTTTTAAAAAATTAAAAGTAAAAAAAAAGAAAAAAAAGAAAATGTTTGCACTGATAAAACAAAAACTTTTTTTGACTATTATTTAGTCTAACTACTTGTAATTGAAAAATCATTTAATTTTTATTATTTTATTGTTAACCAAAAATGGTTAAGAACATTTTTAGAAAAGTATTTCTTGAAACTTTATGCTCAAAAACCTCTAACCTTTAAAGAGGATTGATATTTCAATTAGTGATTTCTCTTCCAACTGATTTTCTAAGAATTTATAACTTAATTTAACTAGTGAATAGTTTTAAGATATCTTTCTTAGACCTTTTTTAGAATAATCAACAGTAGAGCTAGCTTATTATTGAATTAGAATAAGATTTTTCTTTAATATTGAATAGAAACAAAACCAGTCCAAAAGAGAAGAAGAAAAGTATCAAATTATTTTTTTTATTAAAAAGTATATTTTGTCATTTTGTTTTTTCTACTGTTATCAATTATATTAATTGTTTCTATAGGTTCTTTTTCTTAACAAAATGATCTTGTCTTTGATTTTGTAGATAGATTTTTCTTATATTTACTTGCCAAAATATAAAAGTTTATTTCAAAGAGAAAAAGAAACAAATAGAAAAGGATTGATGTCTTTGAATAATAATGTTATTAAAAAAAGTATATAGACTTTGTTAGAAAGAAATATAAAATTTCTTTGAAATATCTGTTTTTTGAATTGGCAAAAGGATTAACAGAAAGAGTTTTGAATAAAAAACTATTTAAAATCTGTTTATATATATATATATATATTATATTTTTATATTAATTAATTATTTTATTAATATTTTTTTTTTTAAGTTTTTAATTAATTTGAAAAATTTTAATTAGAATTAATTATTTGTTACTTGATTAAAATAGAATACTACTATTGTTATTCATAATAGTCAAATAAAGTTCAGTTATAAAATACTTAATTAAAAAATACCATATTATAGATAAAAATTATAAAAAAGAAATAAATAATATATTTTTGATTACAAAATAATGTCTTGTTTGATTTTTTAAATATTAGCTTGTATATTTTAATTGTATAAGAAATACCATTTAATCTTATTATTAAAAAAAATCTAATATCTTAATAAATAAATAAATAAAGTTTATTTATAAGTTTAATTTAATATATAAATTTCTTCTACTTGAAATAAATTTATATAGCAAGATATATATTCAAATCTGAATAAGTAATATAAAACAATGGATATAATTTTAATAAAAAAAATCTTGGATTTAATGCTTGTTTATACAATAAAAAATAAAAAACAAAAAATAATATTTGAAAATAATTTCTATTCAATTTTTAGTTTTTAAGTTTTTTTAATGAAGAGTTTATATAAACCAATGAAAAAGATAATGGCATAATTAGATCTCAAAAAACTTTAAAGTTAATTTGAAATACAGAAAAGTTGATGCACTACATGCAATAGATTACTTAATCTGTTGCTTATACTGTATTTGATCAAAAACATGAATCACTTAATATTATTTTATTTCATGATACACTGTATATCTATTTGTTGTTACAACCTGGCTGTTATAGATTGATGATATTGTTCTTGATTATTCCTTGTTGTCCTATTTGTACCGATTTCTAATTAGAAATTAATTTAAGCCAAATAATTTACTTACCTTTATTACCTTTAACTTTATAAGAAAGCCTATTTTAATACTTTAATATCAGCATTTACGGCCTTAAAACAATCTAATAACATCAAGCATGTTCGGGATCATATACAAGATATCGTCGTTGTCCATTTGTGATCAAAACATAAGGCCAGAAAGTTCTTGACATTAAAAAAAACATTGTATTTTTTTTTATTGTCATCTTTGAGCCTCTTATAGGGCAGATTGTAATTTATAGGAGTTAATATCGGGCGTGCTGTATACAGTATATTCGCATAATCAGCGATCCGGTACAAGAGGACGATATGAATGAATTAATCTCAAGATTATTTATAACTAAACTTCGAGGAACATGAATCAATGAAAAGATTAAGAAAAGCAAAAATTCGAATCAAGCGTTACTGGTCATTATTCAAGTATTACATAAACCTGACATTTGTAATGCGAAGGGCAAGAATAAATCTTGTTTTCTTTGAACTTTAAATTATTCATTTTTTTTTTTACAAGTAAATTGTCAATATAAATAGCTTATACTATACTATGTATTACATACAGCATATACAGTATTACGTATTGAAATGTTGATGAATTAAAAAGTTATTAGATAATATAATACTTTATTTTGCAAGGATAGTACGTAATTAAGAATAGTAAAATGCAACATCTCCCATAAAATGACTACACCTTTCAGAGTATTTCCCGTAATGTAGAAAATGTACGCACGCACATCATGTATGCGAGGTAGTTTCTTATCCTTGACAATTTCGTTCGATCTGTGTGTCGATCATATGGATGAGGCTGACAGCTTGTACTCACCCTTCAACTAGAATGTTTATATGTGATCAAATAAGGAAATTGGTTTCTAGATGTTTTTTTACTAAACCAGGAGATGATTCGGTTTTAATTAGTGTGCAAGATTTGCGAGATTGAAATTTGTGGGGTGTCTTACAGAATCGATCTAAAGTGCTAGGCTAAACTTGGACGAGTCACATCCTGAATATTCATCTCTGGACAAGAGGAAAGGTTTTTTGCACGAATTAGAAGGCGGAGAAAAAAAAAACTCCCCGGTGCACTCCGTTTTTGGTAACACAGGAAGCAAGAAATGACAAAGGATAAAAATGTGACACGCGCCTATTCAAATAAAGTATACATTTATTATGTTTCGAAACCGATGTGAGACTTCACGTGACAATATAAAAAACACATACATCTCGAGTTGGTCGGAAGGTTGTCCCGTTGATAACATCATTCCACTAGCGATAGGAGAACACTTTTCTACTTTCTGGAAAATCAAGCAACTCTCATTAGAAAAGAAAATTCGCACATGTACATGTGTATACATATACGTAGATACATACGTATATGAACTATTATCAGTCGTTTATTTACAAATTAGCAATATAGTGCGGAATTAATAATCCTTGTGGAAACTTATTAATTAATATTTTGAACATTATATGTGTATGTTATATACTTTAGTCTAGTAATTCTAATGTGCATGCGTATGGATATGATTGAAGAGATACGAAAGTGCTCGATCTAATAAAGTATATACTACATATAAAGATATATATGTATATATACAGTATGTTGTCAAAAATCAAATTTGATACCAGATCAGGATAATAATAATAATAAATCTTCCTAAGCAAAGTGCAAAGGAATAAACGGGCTTTCGATGACATCCATTACAATATTCTCATTCAACATCTCGCCCAATTGCTTCACATTGATCGCACGCGTGGAGGCGTCGTTCAAAAACCTCTTACCATTATTCGCCAACCCATCACCATACCCGCAAAACAATCTGACCTTTTTCACCTCTTCACTTTCCCAGCCCTCATCCTCCCAAAATCTGTTCAACACTTCCACCACTTCCTCAAAGTTCGATTTACCTTGCCAACACAAATCCAATTTGCCAAGATCATCGCCCCTGCGCCCGCTCAACACGATACACAGCTCTTGTATCGACCCAAAATTCATCTCTAATCCCACACGGCTTGTACTCCGCGGCAACGAATCTAATATCTCTCTCACACTGTCGATTATCTCGAAGTCAGAGTCGGTGGTGTTGGTGTTCAATCTCAGCACAAAGTGTTCCAGGCACCGCAGATGGTGCAAGCAATTCTTGGTAGATATGATGAATTCTTCGAATGTGTCTAAATCGCTTTCGTAGTGAAGAGGAAAGCTTTCGTTCTCCACGGCATCACACTCGCAGACGTTAACAGTACTGTAATTCGAGTTGGAGTACATTCGGATATTGGTGGAGTGCGTACGAATATCACCGGAACGTTGCAATTCCACGTCCGGAGCCACTCGCATATCCAAATGTGTAAGATTCGGGGCACGCTCAATGATGGTGTCAATAATTTCCGTGGTGCAGTTATCGATCGCAAGTCTTTGCAGGTGAAACGGGCTCACCAGGTTTAGAAGATGAAGAATCGAGTTTTGCGACGGGCATCGAGAAATATGCAATTCGCGAATCGAGATTCCGTTGAATGGTTCCTGAAGATGAGGCACATGATAATAACCGTACCGCCTGTGCGTTCTGTTACAGATGTACACATAATCGTCTTCGTGGCTTCTACTTGATCTTCCATCATCTTCTTCCGCTGGTTCGTTATCATCATCATCCTCTTCATTTTCAAAGTGATCATCGTAGCCTTCGAGAATTTTTAGCTCGCCACCACGGATGTCCAACCTCTCTAACTCGCTGCAATTAACCAACGTCTCTTCTAACTCCAAGGGAAAGCAACTGAATTCCGAGAGCTCGAGATGTTTTAGTGATCTCACCTGAGTGCTTAGTGCCGAGCACAAATCCTCGTATTGATTGGCTAGAAAGAATTCGTTAAGTTTCAGGCATCGAAGGTGACGCTGGGATTTAATCAGGGCGAATACGGCTGAAACCGATGGAGAAGAAGGAGAGAGTGAAAGTGAGAGGGAGTAAAGAAAAGGAGAAGACTTGGTGAGGGAAGCGAAGATCGAATCGAGCGGACATCTCGATCCATCCATGAAACTCGATGATTGCGCACCGGCGGAGTAAGAGGTGAGATATTTATTGCTAGGGTAGTAAACGACATCAAAATTCTCTAGTTTCCGCAATGCATCCTGTGCACCGGTAAATCTTGAAATGTCCATTGAATGAAGTGTTGTTTCCTTCAGGTATCTAAAACTCAAGCTCTTGATTCCCTTCGATCGCTTAAATAGCACGTTCGCCAGATATGCAGTCGGATTAAAGGTTGACGGTAAGTTCAACGTGTCGTACATTAGATTCACCCAACAATCCACGGCACCACGAAGTTGTTCACAGTCTACATTCTTCAGGTATGCCGTATAATCAAACAAAGGATTATTCATTCTGAATCTGGTCATTGCTACCATTTCACTGATCTTCTCCGGTTCACCATGGTCAATCGTCTCAGTGCTGCCAATAAACTGAAGCCTTTCCTCATTCGACAAACAAGCCACGTAGGTCTCAATTATCAACGCCGAATTTCTCTCCACCATACACCAATCTGACGGTGAAGATTGCAATATCAACGACAAGGGATTTGACCAAAGCAAGGGAATGGATAATCTACACCACATCCGGTTCACCAAGGCGCACGAATGTAACGTTGACGTTGACTTTGAAATGGATAAAAAGTTGAGGATGATTGCCAATGTGTCGGGCGGGAGAAACGGAAGGGGTTTTGTGCTTATTGGCGGTGGCGGAGAGCGACCAGGTGAGGATGCTACTTTATCCATGGTCGATTATAATTGATTGACAGAAAGTTGTGGATGATTATATATGGAAGTCAAGGTTATTATGCGGTAATGACTTTCAGTTTCTTCTTGCTATTCAACAAAGAACGGTGAATAAAAAGATCGAAAGTAAACGAGAGAAAAGAGAGAAAGAAAGAAAAATGCAGAATCCCTTTTCACAGTGTTGTCAGATTTAATAAGTTAAAATGTTTGTTGATTAAAAAAAAAAAAAAAAGAAAAAACAGAATTGTGTTCACAGAACGAAACAGAAAAAAAAATAATAAACATGACATGTATACAGTATATATAACAAAAAAAGAAACCGGAAATCACCACACAGTGTATACTGTATATATATATTTATTTATATATGAATTCGTTTGTTTTGTTCGAGTAACTTATATATATTTAACCATTTTATTTACTAATATATTTGGATTAATCAACATGTGCACACATGAATGGTAAAAAAGAGTAAAAAAAGAACACAGGTGACAAAAATTCTCAAACGCAAACGACAAGTAACCGTTCCAGCACTTAATGATTTTTTTAACATGAAGGAGTGCAAAATACAGCATTAAGGTTAGAAAAAAATTGCAATGTACATACGTACATACATTCAGTAAATTAAAAATTAAAATGATCATTTAAAAAGGCCGGAGTGAAATACCTGCCAACTATTAAAGTTATTATCCGTTCTCCCAAATAAGTACATAACATGCATTCTATTGCATATACCTCTCACAGTACCTCGAGTCGCGCGAATATTATTACATGTAGTCAAGTGACCGCTGGACAATTCATGCGACAAATTTTAATACTGTAATACGGTGCATTACGTATCTACAGTAGAGTGGTCTCGGCCAGTTGGTTCAATGGGTGCGTATGTAAATTATTTTTCGTGAGTCATCTGTCGTGAAATTTATGAGATCTTGAAAGCATCTGTGTGCGTAAATTTCCAACACCCACTGATGCATGCCACATTTGTATTCGTCTTGTGTTGTCTCTACATAGTGCAAATGCAGCAAAGGATTTCCCGCCAAAAGAGTCTTCCTTTTTCAAAGTTCGGGCATTGACATCATTTCCTGTTACGTACGCATTATCACACATCATTGTTTCGACTTCTTTTCATGCGAAATTTATCAGAAAGAAAGAACAAATCGATGTGTGTACGTACAGTACGTATCACCACGCACACCCACACATCCACACTTTGCCACATCACCTTAAAACACCCACCAATCATGTTGAATAGTTGGGAAACGTGCAGTTGATACTGTATTAAGGTTGTTTAGGTGTTAGGAAACTGTTCAGTTAGGCATTTGCAAGAGAGACAGGCTTATCAATAAGAGAGATGAAGAGATGCGTAAAGATTTACAAATTATTGTTATGATGTCGAAGCCAAGCCACGTTGAGAAGTGTGACAGAAACTACGGAAATTACTCAAGGAATATCACCGACGGCAACGATCCGAGAAGCCCATCACCAAAGACTGTTATGTGACACATGAATCTGTGTTCTTGGTTACTGTTCAACCTAAATTTGGTCTCGTTGTCTGTACGAACAGGCAATTTCGTTTCCAAAATTCGTAATTTTTCATTGGTTCGCGCAAAAGAAACAAGGGTACTGGAATCTCATATGATCTCTATTGTTTTTATTTCGTTTTCAGGAAATCACGTACAGTACATGAAATCGAAATTACGTAACATGTACGTACTTACGTATATACGTAGTACGTGTTTACCCTTTTCCATAGTACACATTGTTTCTTCCTCTCCCGCATAGACAATTACGTATGTACGCAGATTTATTTGTTTTTTTGTTTTGTTTACCTTTATTTACGGAGCTGTATTTGGCTTCGTTAGGCTGGTGTTTCTACACTCGATAATGGTTCTCACTCCCAAAATAAATTTTTCCAGCGAAAGAAATAACTTCTTCATCAAGTTTCACATAGAATGTTTACCATATATATCCTTTAGCCATAAATGTTATTATCATCAGTATTAGATACAGTATGCTGCTTATTCGTTTGTTTGTACCTTATTAAAGAAAGTTGGGTTACAATTGGTAAACGTATTCGTACACACCTATGGCTTTACTAGACTTAATAAGAATGAACCTACTTTCTTTAGTCTATCAAAGGGTGGAGACTTTTTTGGTTTAAAACCTTCGAAGATGCATCATCCATCGCAGGCCGACAATTATTGCGCTCACAAGACCCAAATGAAGTTAGTCCCGTTTCGTTGGAAATAATTGTGATTTATAGAACCGAATTTGCCTATTTGGGTATATTATAAATCGTTTCAACTGTATTACATGAATTCCTTTTTCCGTAATGCAATTCTCTTTGTTCAACTTGATTCTTGGTTTTTAAGAATCTAACAATAATTATTATTCCAACATGTGCGCCCGGAGACTACTTTCCCATTTACGCCCATTCACCAATCCTTTTCTCGTGTCTAATTAGGATAATTCATATAATCATCGGAAGAGCCTCATTTAAGCTCAAGTCCCGTTGATTGTTAACCTTTACGGAAAAAAAGGGTGGACCCGTGATCATGCAAATTACGTGTAATATTGAAAAGCTGCAAACCACGCAGTAATACTGAATAAAATTTGGATGCAAAAAGATTGCATCGATGGACGCACCTGATGTGTTTCTTTACAACCTTGGTCATTTCTCAGAGATCCAAGGAATATCATTTTTCGGTGTGTGATGGACATTTCCCATATCTGACGCTGGCACGCATGCTATAATAAGCATCCAGTTTCGTTGTTCAAGACACTTTAATCTTGCTAATGAAATCTCGTAACTATAATACTATGCGGTGTGTCAATTGTTTCTCATGCGCGCAATAGGGAAATGAATACAAAATGACAGCAATCTAAACCCAACGAAGAGGCGGATAATTCTGTATATGATCAAGATTTCACCTACTTTATTCTGATACATCATCTCTAGTTAACGTGATGCTCATCAACATTAAAAAATACTAAAATCATTTCATTCTAAAACCAAAACCTATACAATATTTGGTCAATAAATTATTTCTATCGTAATTATTAAAAAAATTTTTTAAATGATTTTTTTTTCTTTAAAAAATTCCACAAATGGATTGGCTTCACATGTTTATTGGATCACAATAATTGTCTCTGTATAAACCTACTTGATCCACCTACAGTATTGGATATGATTAAAATCCTGATATTTATAAGATCAGTATCACGCATCATAAATCGCACATAAAAACTTATTTATCTATAAAAAGCTTCTTTTGGTAAAGTCCAAATCGAGTTTCTTATAATTATTGTTTCACCTCCTTTCTTTCATATTTCATTTTTCATTGATAACAATAATATCCTAAAATAACCAAACCATTTTTAAAGAATTTTTTTTAAAAAAAATTATAAATGATAATTACAAAATTGTAAAATACAATAATTGATTTATAGATATATTCCAAGTAATATACTGTAAATAGCTATATAATTATACAATATATAGACATAATTACATAATTAATAAAAATATCAATTGCATATCTGATTTGTATTTGTACAACTATTAATTAATAAAATTTATCTGTTTTATTTATAACTTATCAATTATATAATATTTTATTAAGTGATAAAGATAAGTTAAAAAAAATTAATTATATATAAAAAAAAGCAAAATTATAATATCTAAGAGTTAAATAAAAATTTATCAAATTCAATTTTATTATAATATAAGATCTAATTTTAGATTAATAATAGATTTTTTAATAGTAATAACAATAGTATTGAATATAATATAATTAAAGAAAGCTGATTTTTTGAAATGCAGAGATAAGAGAAAATTTAAAAAGATATCAATTGAATAGAAATATATTTGTTTTTTAAAGATATAATTAAAATTTTATTAATTATATTGTTTAAATAATACTTGTTAAGATTTGAAAAACTAAAAAAAACTTATAAGAAAAATATTCTTAAGCTTATAAAAATTATTATATATAAGTTAGTACTTGAGTTTTTTAATAGATTATCATTATATCTCATTAGATTATTATTGTTATTTATGTTAAAATAATTTTTTTTAAAATGAAAATATTTTTAAATACTATAATATCTTTTATAAATTTTAACAATAACATTAATATTATAAATAAATTAAAAAAATGGTTTATATTTAAAAATTAGTCTATATAATTCTAAAAGATTATTGAAATAAATTATATTAAACAATTTCTATATATGCTATTAATTAAAACTAAAAAAGTTTTACTATATTGTTAAACTTTATTAATTAATTTGTAAATTTAATATTAAAAACATTTGGTATATTGATTATAATAATTTTAGAGTTAGATTAAGGATTAGTTAATAATAGATCCATTAAGTTTTCTATATTGGAATAACAATTTGAACAGTTAGTTAAGCAGATTTGAATTTTTAAATTTTTGACAATTTTGATAATATAAAAAATTCAATTGTTTTGATTAAACATTTTTGAATTATATATTGGACAAAATTAAATTGTTTCTTTTTTCTATATTAATTATATATTTTGAAATATATATTTTCTTATAATTGAAATAATAAATTTAAATATTAGATAATTTGTTAAAAAGAATCTTTGTTTTTTTTAAAAAAATATAATATTAATACTACTATAACTAATAAAAATTGTATTTAAGTATTTGAAAACTATTTTATATATTGATTTAATAAGTTTATTGATTTTTATTTAGAAATTATTAAATATAAATTTGTTAAAAAAAGTTATTATTAGAAAATATTTAAATTTTTTTATAGTTATCTATTTATATATTTGTTGGTTAATTTGATTTTTCTAACTTTATTTGTTTAATTCTTAGAAAATTATATCTATTAATTAATTAAAGACTTTTTTATTGGTTTTAAAAAAGTTTTTAAAAAAGATAAATATTTCTAAGTATTTGATACTTTAATATAATTTTAAAATATGTATTAAATAATTATTAAATCTTATAGTATTAAAA